ATGTGGCAGACAAGAAAGGAATGGCATGATATATTTAATGTGCTGAATGGGAAAAATCTGCACCCAAGAGTATTCTATCCAGCAAGGCTATCATTCAGAACAAAAAGAGAGATAAGAGTTTCCCACACAAAGACTAAACAGGTGTATGACCACTAAACTTACCCTGCAAAAAATATTAAATGAGACTCTTTGAATGGGAAAGAAAGACCAAGAGCAACAAACACCAGAAAGAAACAGAGAAAATCTCCAGAAACAATTACTTTACTAGTAATACAATGGCATTAAATTGATATCTATCAATAATCACTCTGAATATAAATTGATTAAATTGTCTAATCAAAAGACATAAAGTTTCAGAGTGGATAAAAAAACAAGACACATCTATATGCTGCCTACAAGAGACTCATTTTAAACCTAAAGATATTTGCAGATTGAAATTGAGGGAATGGAGAATGGTTTATCATGCTATTGGAATCAAAAGATATCCAAAATATCTTTATCTTATCTTTGGATATCCAAAGATATCCAAAATAGATTTTAAACTGAACCTGTATTGAAAGATGAATAAGGGCATTCTATAATAACAAAGGGGTCTATCCAACAAGATCAATAAATTGTCAATATATATGACCCCAACTTGGAAACTCTAATATATTTAAAACAACTAATAACATACATAAAGGAACTCATTGATAATAATACAATAGTAATAGAGTACTCTAACACCCCACTTATATCAATGGACAGATCAAGTGGAAAATCAACACGGAAACAATGGCTTTGAATTACACAATGGACCAGATGTACTTAACAAATATAATCAGAACATTTTATCCTAAACTAGCAGAATACACATTCTTTTCAAATGCACATGGAACATTCTCCAGAATAGATCACATACTAGGTCACAAATCAGACCTCAACAAGTACAAAAAGATTGATATTGTAGCATGTATATTTTCAGACCACAATTTCATAAAACTTGAAATCAACCACAATAAAAAATTTGGAAAGACCACAAATACATGGAGGTTAAAGAACATCCTACTAAATAATGAATGGGACAACCAGGAAATCAAAGAAGAAATCTAAAAATACATGGAAACAAAAATTTAAAAATTGTGGTCCAAAACTTTTGGAATGCAGTAAAAGCAGTCCTAAGAGGGAAGTATAGAGCAATAAAGGTCTACCTCAAGAAACAAAAAGCATCTCATATACACAACCTAACCTTACACCTAAAAGGGCTAGGTAAAGAACAACAAATAAACCCTAATACTAGCAGAAAAGAAATAATAAAGACTAGAATGAAAATAAATTATATAGAAACAAATAAACAACAACAACAATAAAAACCAGGAGAACAAATCAATGAAACCAGGAGTTGGTTCCATGAAAGAATTAATAAAATTGATAACCTCCTAGACAGACTTATAAAAAAAGAAAGATAAAGGACTCAAATAAATAAAATCATGAATGAGAGAGATCTTAAACAACACTACAGAAATACAAGCAATTATAAGAGAACATTATGAAAAATTATATGTCAAAAAATTGGGCAATCTGGAAGAAATTGATAAATTCCTAAAAACATATAAACTACCAAAATGGAAACAGGAAGAAGTAGAAAATTCGAACAGATCCACAACTAGCAAAGAATTTGAATCAGTAATAAAAAATTTCCCAACAAACAAATGTCCAGGGCCAAATGGCTTCCCAGGGCAATTCTACCAAACATTTAAAGATGAGTTAATATTAAACTCAAAGTACCCATTCTTCTCAAACTGTTCCAAAATATACAAACAGAAGGAAAATTTACAAACTCATTCTACAAGGCCAGTAGTATGTTGATCCCAAAACCAAAGACCTCACTAAAAGAGAATTACAGGCCTGTACCCCTGACGAATGGATGCAAAACATCTCAACAAAATACTAGCAAATTGAATAGAACAGTACATTAAAAGAGTCATTCAAGTGGTATTTATTCCTGGGCTGCAAGTGTTGTTCATATTCACAAATCAATCAACATGATACATCACATTAATAAAAGAAAGGATAGGAACTATATGATCCTCTCAATAGATACAGAAAAAGATAAAAGATTTATACTCTGAAAACTATAGAACACTAATGAAAGAAGTTGAAAGGACACGAAGAAATGGAAAAACATACCATGCTTATGGATTGAGAGAACAACTATTGTTAAAATGTCTATACTACCCAAAGCAATCTACACATTTAATGCAATTCCCATCAAAATATCACCAGCATTTCTCACAGAGCTAGAACAAACAATCTTAAAATTTGTATGGAACCCCAAAAGACCCTGAATACCAAAAGCCATTTTGAAAAAGAAAAGCAAACCTGGAGACGTCACTGTTCTGGACTTCCAGATATATTACGAAGCTGTAATTATCAAGGCAGCATGGTATTGGCACAAAACACAAAACAAAAAAAACAACAAACAACAACAACAAAAACAGATGTACAGATCAATGGAACAACATAGAAAACTCAGAAATGGACCCACAACTATACGATCAACTCATCGTCAAGGAAGCAAGAAAAATTATTCAATGGAAAAAAGTCAGTCTCTTCAACAAATGGTGCTGGGAAAACCGAACAACAACATGCAAAATAACAAAACTAAACCACTTTCTTACATACACAAAAATAAATTCAAAATGAATGAAAGATCTAAATGTGAGACAGGAAACCATCAAAATCCTAGAGTAGAATATAGGCAGCAACCTCTTTGACCTCGGCCATAGACTTCCTACTATGTAGGTCTCTGGAAGCAAGGGAAACAAAGGCAAAAATGAACTATTGGGACTTGATCAAGATAAAAACTTCATCACAGTGAAGGAAACAATCAACAAAACTAAAACACAAACTTTGAAATGGGAGAAGATATTTTCAAACAACATTATCTGATAAAGGGTTAGTACCAAAACCTATAAACAACTTATCAAATCAACAAAACACAAAACAATCCAGTTAAGAAATGGGTAGAACACATGAATAGACATTCTTCCAAAGAATACATCCAGATGGCTAACAGACACCTGAAAAGATACCAACATACCGATCATCAGGGAAATACAAATCAAAACCGTGATAAGACACCACCTCACATCTGTCAGGAAAAAAAGGAAACACTCTCACACTATTGGTGGGAATGCAAACTGGTGCAGCTACTCTGGAAAACAGTATGGAGTTTCTTCAAAAAGTTAAAAATGCAACTACCCTATGATTCCACATAAAACCACAGGTGTTTACCCAAAGGGTACAAAAATACTGATTTGAAGAGGCAAATGCAACCTGATGTTTATAGCAGCATTATCAATAATCGCCAATTATGGAAACTGCCCAAATTGTCCATTGACTGATGACTGGATAAAGAAGATGTGGTATATATACAATGGAATATTACTCAAACATAAAAAAAAAGAATTAAATCTTGCCACTTGCAACAATTTGGATACAGTTAGAGTATATTAGGCCAAGCGAAATAATTCAGTCAGAGAAAGACAAACACCATATGATTTCATTCATATGTAGAATTTAAGAAATGAAACAAATGAACATGGGGGAAAGGCCAACCAAGAAACATACTTAACTATAGAGAACAAATGGAGGGTTGCTGGAGGGGAGGACAGTGGAGGGGGTGGGCTAAATGGGAGACATGGGTGATGGGTATTAAGGAGAGCACTGTTTGTGATGAACAACAGGTATTATATGTAAGTAATGAATCACTAAATTCTACTCCTCAAACTAATATTACACTATATGTTAACTAACTGGAATTTAAAATAAGACTTGAAAAATATAAAAATAAAAAATAAACATTGGAGGACAGAACCTCAATTGTTTTTCTTCGACATATCACTCCTACAAATATTGGCTGCTAATGATTTTTCCAGAAAAGGGTCAGGCAATGATTATCCCAACAAAGTGTGGAGGATAAGAAAGGGATCTTCTTTGATTGCTTCTCCCATGATCCACATACTTTCTAGTAAATGATGGCATTTCCCTCCACTTGGTAGCTAACCTGCTTTAAAAGAGACTGAGTTATGTTCTATTTTTTGCTAATCATTTAAGGTCCTGCTCCATGAGAGGATATTATGATTTTCAGTTTTGAAAGTGACTAGGTAGATCAGTCTAATTCAAGCTCATGAGACTAGGTAATGATGTGTCATAAATATAAGCTGCCTTTTCCAAACTGTGATTTATGAATTGTAAAGATGAAATTTGTGTCACCATTTGATTGGTTCAATTCTTTATGTCTTCACTTGTGTTTTGAAAATCAATTTAAAGAGTGTTTTTTTAAAGTTTTATTTAGATTCTAGTTAGTTAACAGATAGTGTAAAATTAGTTTCAGGTGTACAATTTAGTGGTTCAACACTTACACACAACACCCGGTGCTCATCACAATAGGTGCACTCCTTAATCCTCAGAAGGCCAGTTCTGTATGTCAGAATAACCATAGCATTAGGACATAGAGGCAAAAACATGCCAATTTTAAATACACCAAGATTTGCTACTTAAATAATGCCAATTAGGACATTCAATTCTGTTATTCTTCACCTATGCCCCATGAAGCATTTTAAGGCAATTGATAAATGGTTTCAAAAGTTTAATTTTAATCTTGTTCATAATTTTGTTATACTTGGAAATAGTCAAAATCTAACTTTGAAATTAAAATCAATCAATGATTAGATATTGAGTACATGAAAAATTCATGAGCCTTTTATAACACTGCTTTAGCTTCCTAAAAACTCACAAGAAGAAAATTATAAAAATTTTATATTATTAAGTTCAATAAGAACTTCTTATAGTTCAAGCATTTGTAATAAGCAGCAAGGACAAAGATCCCTAATATCATTTGCAAATGTTAATATACATAGAAATAATAAAATAAAGAATATTTAATTATATATTATATATTAAATATATATATTCTATTTATACATCTGAGCCAAACAAATTAAACCATACCATACCAGAACAACACCGCCTCCATACTGGTTATCACACATCTTCCCTTGAAAGGTTGCACCAACATAATTTGGTTTTTCTCTGTAACTTAAGTTTTAAAAAAAGATCATAATCATATAATTTTGTAAAATTTAGCACAACCACTATTAAGTTTGCCTAATAAATTTGTCTTGTATATTTATATTATAAATTTGTAAATATTTCCACCTAACATAGGGTAACAAAGCTTGGAAGTGACTAAATGTATCTGCTTCTTTTTTAAAAAATGAAATACATTTTAAAAGCAGATAATAGAATGTTATTTTCATATTGAATTTTTAGAAAATAAGATTCTTCTTTATGTAGTATTTCTTAAAAAATAAATAATTCCTAGTGTATCAAAATAATAAAAATAAAATCCCTTACAATTAGAAAGCGTAAGCAGGCGCGCCTGGGTGGCGCAGTCGGTTAAGCGTCCGACTTCAGCCAGGTCACGATCTCGCAGTCCGTGAGTTCGAGCCCGCGCTCGGGCTCTGGGCTGATGGCTCAGAGCCTGGAGCCTGTTTCCGATTCTGTGTCTCCCTCTCTCTCTGCCCCTCCCCCGTTCATGCTCTGTCTCTCTCTGTCCCAAAAATAAATAAACGTTGAAAAAAAAAAATTAAAAAAAAAAAAGAAAGCGTAAGCAATACAATTGATAAGTTAAATGGACAGAGACACCTTATGGACTGAAGTTTCTCATTAATCAGAATTAGGCAGCCAGAGTTGCGCAAATGGCATATTTGTGGGACAGAAAATAATTTAAATTATTATAATTTTTTAAATATGTATATATTATTTTGATATAGTATAGTAACATAATATATATATCCTAAATATTGATAAGAGAAGAACAAAGTACTTATTAAATAGGAGGGTCTTATATTTTTGTAAATGCAGAACAATGTAAATATGGTATATTAGAGATTAAATTATACAGTAGTGCCTCCATAATCTTGGGATTTTTTGTTATCCTATGCAAATAAAGCCTAAAAAGAAGACCTAATAACTACATTCGTCATTTATGTTTCTTCAGATAGATATTGTTACTATTTCAAGGATAGTTAGGGAATTTAATGATGTGTTATACACTCTAAGAAAGCAATGATAACAATATTGAAGGAGTGGGTTTTAACTACAAAAAATAAATAGAATGATTGACATCAATAATTCTGCTATAAAACCTGTGTTTTGAAAAATAATATTCACATGATATTGTATGTTAGGAAAAAATGACATATTTCCCCTAAAGGCCTGTTAACTGACAGAAATTAGGTCAAATATAGGTATGTTTTCTTTGTATAAGATTTAGTAAAGCTAAGATATGCTTACACAAGTAAAAATGCCACATCATGTGGACGCAAAACAAGATAAGATCTTTTCCACTTTAAAAATCTGTGTAACAATTCATTAGCATCTCCAGTTACTGGGATTTTATTTTCATCTATCCAAAGTTCCAATGAAGAGAGAATTATTGTAATATTAAATGACGTAAAAATCTAAAAAAGAAGACATAAAGAAAATATGCTCAAATATTATGGTTTAAATAGATTTGGGGATTTATCTATAACAATAAACACTACACTGATGACAAATATTAAATGACAGAACTGCTAAGCATGGATTGGATCTTATAGAGTATAAAACAAGTAATAATTAACATTTTGAAATGCTTGTACTTAAGCAAGCCCCGTGTGAAGTGCTTTATCAATTTAATAATTACCATAACCTGGGGCACCTGGGTGGCTCAGTTGGTTAAGGGTCTGACTTTGGCTCAGGTCATGATCTTGTGATTCATGAGTTCGAGCCCTGCATTGGGCTCTGCTGATAACGTGAAGCCTGGAGGTTGCTTAGGATTCTGTGTCTCCCTGTCTCTGTCCCTCCACCTCTCATGCTCTCTCTCTCTCTCTCTCTCAAAAATAAATAAACATTTAAAAAATAATTACCATAACTTAATTAGGTATGTATATAAATTTTTATTCTTATTCTTATTCCTACTCAGAAAACTGAAACTTAAAATGTTATATTATTTGTCCTATTTCATATATCATGTGTTTTCAGACAGTGCCATAAAATAAAATGTATAGGAATTGTTTAAGCAACAGAAGCAAATAGAAAAGAATTAAAAGCAAAAACTTACAGCATTGGTCAGTCCAATCAACTGGAAGATTTTTTGAGTGACAACAATAGTATCAGAACCCATATGATTGTACTGAAAAATATAAGAAATTGTTTAAATTATGAATTTATTAGTTTTTAAGTATTATTAAACTTACAAACTTTTATTAATATTCCTAATGAACACAGATGCAAAAAAACCTCAAAAAATATAGGCAGACTGAATTCAACAGCATATTAAAATGAAATACACTATGATCAGTAGGGATTTATTCCATGGATACTAGAATGGTTCAACATCTGCAAATCAGTCAATATGATACACTACATAAACAAAATGAAGGACACAAATCATATGTTCAGATGATGAAGAATCATCAGTAGATGCAGAAGAAGGCATTTTGACAAATTTCAACATCCTTTCATAATGAAAACTCTCGCCAAAGTGGGAATGGAGAGAATGTACATCAACGTAATAAAAGCTATATATGACAAGCCTATAACTGACATTATACTCACCTGGGAAAATCTGAAAACATTTAGTCTAAGATCAGGAACAAGACCAGGATGCCCACTCTCATCAATTTTATTTAACCATAGTATCAAAAATCCTACTCAGAGCAACTAGGTAAGAAAAAAAATGTCATCCAAATTGGAAAGGAAGAAGTGAATTATCACTATTTGTAGATCACGTGATGTGATACATAGATAACCCTAAAGACTGCATGCACACAAAAAAGTTAGAACTAATTTTTAAAATTCAGTGAAGTTGCAGGATAAAAAAGTCACTATGGAAAAATTTGTTGTTTTTCTATACACTAATAACAAACAATCAGAAAGAAAAATTATGAAAACAATTCCATCTGTATTTGTATCAGAAGGAATCAAATGCCTGGAAATAAGTTTAAACAAGGAGGTAAAAGATCTGTACATTGAAAACTGTAAGACAATGATAAAAGAAAGACACACAAAAATAGAAATATATATCATGTTCATGAATTAGAAGAATTAGCCTTGTAAAGATGTTCATACTACCCAAAGCAATATACAGCTTCAATGTAATGCCTATAAAATTTCCAATGGCATTTTTCACAGAAATAGAACAGAGTCTTGAAATTTGTGTGGACCCACAAAAGACCCTAAATAGCGAAACAAATTTGAAAAGAATAAAGCTGGTGGCATAATGCTCCCTGATTTCAAAATATAATACAAAACTATAGTAATCAAAGCAGTATGATATTGCCATTAAAACAGACAGCTGGGGTGCCTGGGTGGATCATTCACAGACACATGGGGTGCCTAGGTGGATTAGTTGATTGAGCATCCGACTTCAGCTCAAGTCATGATCTCCCGGCTCCTGAGTTCAAGCCCCACGTCAGGCTGTGTGCTGACAGCTCAGAGCCTGGAACCTACTTCAGATTCTGTCTCCATCTCTCTCTCTGCCCCTCCCTGCTCTCATGCACTGTTTCTCTCTCTCTCTGTCTCTCTCTGTCTCTCTCTCTCTCAAATATAAACATAATTTTTTTTAAAATAAAATAAAACAGACACATGAATCAATGGAATAGAACAGATAGCTCAGAAATAAATCCATGCCTTATAGTCAGTTAATTTATCATAAAGGAGTCAATAATACACAATGTATGAAAACAGTCTCTTCAATAAATAATGTTAAGAAAACCACATAGCACATCCAAGCATGAAACTGGACCACTATCTTATGTCATACAAAAAATATAACTCATAATGAATTAAAGACTTTAATGTAAGACCTGAAACCATAAAACTCCTAAAAGACAACATACCAGTAAGTTTTTTCATATCAAGTGGTAATGACTTTTTGAATTTGACATCTAAAGTAAAGGCAAACAAGGGCACCTGGGTGGCTCAGTCAGTTAAGCGTCCGACTTTGGCTCAAATCATTTTCTCTTAGTTCATGAGTTCGAGCCTTGTGTCAGGCTCTGTGCTGACAGCTCAGAGCCTGGAGCCTGCTTCAGATCCTGTGTCTCCCTCTGCTCCTCCCCCCGCCCCTGCTCCCTCTGTCTCTCTCTGCTCCTCCCCCGCTCACACTTTGTCTCTGTCTGTCTCTCAAAAAATAAACATTAAAAAAAAATTAAAGTAAAGGCAACAAAAGCAAAATTAAGCAAGGGGGACTACATCATTCTAAAGAGGCCATGCACAGCAAAAGAAAGCATGAACAAAATGAAAAGGCAACCTACCAAATGGGAAAAGACATAATGGGTTAATATACAAAATATAAAAACAACTCATACGAGTCAATAAAAAAAGCAAATAATCCAATTAAAAGATGGGCCAGAAGATATGAATAGACATTTTCCCTAAGAAAATATACAGATGACCAAGAAGCACGTGAAAAGGTACTCAACATCAATAACCATCAGGAAAATCTAAATCAAAACCACAATGAGGTATCACTCACACCAATTAGAATAGTTGTTTTAAGTAAGACAAGAAATAGCAAGTGTTGACAAGGATGTGTAGAAAAAGGAGCCCTTGTGGACTATTGGTTGGAATGTAAACAGCTACTGTGGAAAACAGTAAGGAGTTTCCCCAAAAAAATTAAAGATGGAGCTGCCATATGATCTAACTGTGCCACTTTTGGACTTTTGTCCAAGTAAAATAAAAACACTAACTCAAAAAATAGAAATGCACCCCCAGATTCCTTGTGGCATTATTTATAATAGCCAAGACATTAAAGCAATCTAAGTGTTCATAAACAGATGGGGAAGGAATATATGGTACATGTGTGCAATGGAATATTATTCAGGCATAAAAAAAAAGAAGAAAATCTTGCCATCTGTGAAAACATGGATGCACTTTGAAGGCATTTGATTAAGTGAAATAAATCAGACAGTGGAAGGTAAATACTAATTATCTCACTTATAAGTGGAATCTAAAAACAAAACAAAACAAAACAAAAACCAAACTCACAGATATAGAAAAAAGATTGATGGTCTCCAGAGGTGGGGTATAGGGAGTGGGAGAATGGGCGAAGTTGATCACTTGGCACAAACTTCCAGTTATACCGTAAGTAAGTCCTGAGGATTAATGTACAACATCATGACTGTAGTTAATTAAACTGTATTGCATATTTGAAAGTTGCTAAAAGAGTAGATCATAAAAATTCTCATTACAAAAAAGTGTAACTATGTGTGGTGGTCATTTTTCAATACATATTTTGCAAATACTGAGTCATTATGCCATATACCTGCAACTAATATAATGTTACATGGCAATTATATCTCAATTTGAAATAAGACACTACAAATAAGATATGTTTTACTATCAAATAAATAATAATTATTGAGAGAAAATCTTAGTTTTAAACTATAAGATTTAAGTGGTGCCTGGGTGGCTCAGTGGGTGAAGCAACCAGCTTCTGCTCAGGTCATGATCTTGTGGTTCTTGAGTTTGAGCCCCGCATTGGGCTCTGTGCTGACAGCTCAGAGCCTGGAGCCTGCTTCAGATTCTGTGTCTCTGTCTCATTCTGCCCCTTCCCTGCTCTCTCTCTCTCTCTCTCTCCTCCCCAAAGATAAACATTAAAGTATTTTAAATATAATATCTAAATGTGAAGAACAAAGATTATAGATTGAATACATGCCTTTAGAACCATGCCTTCCTGAAACCTCATTTAAAAAATTAAAAGTGTTAAATTATTAAAAACAATTAATAGAAAATTAAATTTTCAAAAGCACAAATGAAAGAAACAAAACAAACACAAAATTTGAAAACTGAAGAACAAGTGATAAATGATTAAGCAGATTTAAGAAATTTAAGTGAAACACCAGTGCAGCAATCTAATTCACCTTGAAGACTCTAAAATACTGAGATTGGCTACATAAGTTTTTCTTCAAGAGAAATTGGCACTAAGAGCAGGAAGATTGACTTTAAAATTTGTTTAAGAAGTAGTTAAGGCTAGGGGCACCTGGGTGGCTCAGTCAGCTAAGCGACCAACTTCAGCTCAGGTCATGATCTTGTGGTCCATGAGTTCAAGCCTCACGCCAGACCCTGTGCTGACAGCTCAGAATCTGGACCCTGCTTCGGATTCTGCCTCCCTCTCTCTCTGCCCGCTTCCCTGCTTGCGCTGTTTCTCTCAAAAATAAATAAATATTTCTTTAAAAAAGAGGTAGTTAAGGCTAGAAGAACCTCCAGAATGGCCTTATGAGAAAAGATAATCCAAGAATGTTATATGTTGAATGATTCCATTTATATTCCATTTTGGAAATTAAAAATACGGACACGGAGAACAGAGTAGTTGTTTTCAGAGATGAAAGAGAAGTGGGTGTGGGATGAAGAGAGATGAAAGAGAAGTGAGTGTGGCTCTGAAAAGGCCACACAACAGATCCTCACATTCATATTATTCTGTTTCTTGACTATGTATGTCAATATCGTAGATGTAATATTGTACTATAATATTTTAAGATGCTACAAATTGGAAAAAATAAAGGGTACATGGGGTCTCTATATATTCTTTTTATTTTAATATATATTTTATTCAGTAAAAAAGAAAACCAACACTATTGGTGATAAATAGTCATAACACAAATCAACAAACACACAGAAATAAATTAAGGTGAACAATCAATAATTCAAGCACTTTATGCCAACATTTGAGATAACAAAGCTATGGTAAATGTTTCAATTCCAAATTTAGAAGCTCACTCATGTGCAATTAATAAAGAAGACTAAGAGTATAATTTTTGGATAGCAGCTATGGCAGAAACAACATCAAAGAAATTAAGAGAGTAGTTGTTTAAAAGTGTGTTAAAATTAGGATAGGGCAAAATCACAGATTTTGCAGGATTGAATAAAAGAACAGGATGGTTTGAGTTACTCAAGAGTAAAAACTTCAGAATAAAAGTTTTTGTTTGGAGGCAATGGCTCTATCACAAACAATGATCTCTGTGTATTCTTACAATAGCATATGAGTAAACAATTATTTCTAATAAAAAGATAATTTTTAAAACATTAAAAGCTAGAAAATATGCATTTATGTCAAAAAGAGATAATAGAGGAGGAACAAAGAGTTATGAAACAGAAAAAGTCAAAATGGCAAATATACATACTAACATACAA